GTGTGTGTGTGTGTGTGTGTGTGTGCGAGTGTGTGAGAGAGTGCGATATAATTTTTAATAATTTTTATGTATTAGTTACTGTAGTGCATCAGCTAAATGAAAATAAGTGTTGCGGTGGAATCTAGCTGAAATAAAGTCCGTTTGTATGTTTCTATGACTGTGATGTAGCTGCGTTTGTGCTGGTGTCGGCAGTGAGAGCTGTGCTCTGATTGGTCGTCTCTCGCTCCAGCAGCTCTTTGATTGGGTGGTCAGTTGAAGTTCTCGTCCAGCAGCCAATCAGAGGCCAGGACTGTGTCACGATGGTAGTGTTTGACAGCGTGACTGAGCCGTGCTCCTCGTCTCTTACAGGCACTACCACAGCATCGAGGTGTTCACGCACTACGACCTCCTGACCCTGAACGGCACAAAGGTCGCGGAGGGTCACAAGGCCAGCTTCTGTCTGGAGGACACATACTGCCCTGAAGGTGAAGCTGCTTCATTAACACAAACAAACCACTCGATCAGGCCTCTCGAGGCTTCAGATCACACTAAAGCAGCATTTAAATAAGCTACAACTCATTCAAATTAAGATGATTCTTATTTTAATCTTGTTAAGTATATGTTAAGAATTTATTTTCTTATTTAATATGTACTATTTTAGCCCCGGTTTTTTTTTTTTTTCAATGACTAGGATCCTAGACCTGGAAAATTCATATTAATCAAAAAAATCTTAAAACACCATCATTTTTTTAAATGAATATACTTTTTATTGGTTAAGCCAAGGTCTAAAATATTTCAGTATTTAACAGGTAGAAATAGTACAAATATTTTTTTTTATAAATCTTTAGTCGTTAAATTCTGATAAGCTGGGGAAAAAAGAAAAATAATTTTAGTTATTTATTTTCAGGGGTTTAAAAAATGATCAGAAACTATATTTAAGTGAAAATATGGATACTGAGTAAAATTTTACTTGATTAAAAGTGTAAATATCAGGCCAAAAACATACCTGAGTGGAAGTTAAAAAGCATTTAAATTCTACTTTAGTATAAAAAAGTACAAGTAATTAATCTGATTATAAATTAATTGACTGACAGCCCTAATTTTTATTCTAAATAATATTTATTTACTTTCATATAATTAGAATAACACTCTCTGGTAAGAACATGAATAAATATTTACAAAGAATTTAACATTTTATAAGTAAGGAATAATTGAATTATTAGAAGATAATGCACTCCTGAGGTGGTGATGTCACCAACATTTGATCAACTTTATAACATTTAATTTAAAAGAAAAAAATTAATAGTGGCCATCAAAATATGAATCTTTATTTTAATTTTTACTAAATAAATATGATTTTATTGTCATGTTTCCACTGATGTTAATTTGATCTACAGAAGCTTATAACTTCAGCTCATTTAAAGCTTTATGCATGATATTTTTACATTTAATGTCTTTATGGATTTTCTGAATTGTGTATTTACTTTCAGAACTATATTTTTGTTTAGCTAGAATAAAAGAACACCAAAAAACCTGATTGGATAATAATGAGCTGAGTGTCAAACCTCAGAACACTTTTTGTGCTCTTCAAAAACTTTATTTTTTCAAAACCTTTTTCATTTTTTCTGGGGGTTTTTTCCCTCAAAAAAATTTTTTTCTTATTCAAACATTTTTTTCAAAGACTTTCTTTTTCTTTTTTCCAAAAAAGTTGTTATTTTTTCAAAAACTCTTTTCAGACTTTTTTCTTTTTTTAATTTTTCAAATACGTTTTTCTTTTTTCGCAGAGTTTTTTCTTTTTTCATTTTTTTTCTTTTTCAGATACTTTTTTCTTTTTTTCAGACTTTTCTTTTTTCAAAAATGTTTTTCTTTTTTTAAATTTTTTTTTTTTCATTTTTCAAATACTTTTTAAAAAGACTATCTTTTTTCAAAGATGTTCCTCTTTTTTTTTATTTTCTCTTCATTAAAACTTTTCCCTCTTCAGAAACATTTCTGTTTTCACAAACTATTTTCTGCATAATAATTGGATAATAATGAGCTGATCGTCGGAACAAAAATGTCACAAGTACTTTTCAAAACATAAAATTATAAGGTACGGAAGTTCTAAGCGGCCATGCATTATTATCATTTTTTTCTTTCTTGTTTTCTCGTTATCACGACTTAATTTTCTCGTGATTTCGACATAACAAAAGTGGCTCTTTGAACAATGATTGTTTGATTTTTAAAACACAATGCATTGAGTCTACTGTTGCTATAGTAACGAACGCAACCTTGACGGGGACATTCTAAAGCGCTTAATGCTTAATGCGTTAATTAAGTGTTTTTGAAAAACCAAACTCATTATACACATTATTAATAATTCATACTATGTACAGACAAGAAGATGAGCCCATAATAAGAACGCAATGCGTTTAATTCCGCGTTAAGTGTTTTCCTCCCATAAAATAGCCTATCATAGGACAACACTTTACGTGGCTTAATGCAATAAGGCAGTGTTTTTAAAAGACCAAACTCAGAAAACACATCATTAATATGAAAGCATTGTATGTACAGACAAGCAAATGAGCTCATAATAAGAACGCAATGTGTTTAACATGTTAAGTGTTACCCATAGAAAACCGTTATAAGAAAATGTTGCGTTGCGTTCGCATCCTGGACTCATCTGCTTGTCTGTACATATTATAATTTATTAATAATGTGTTTACTAAATTTGGTCTTTAAAAACACTCTCCTAACGCATTAAGCAACGTTAAGCGTTTTACAAGCGCAGCGCCAAAAATTGTTTGGATTCAACTTACTTTATTTTCCTCATTCGTTTGAAATAAAATTATATATATTAATATATTATAATAATTTGTTTGTGATTTTTATTAGTCATGTAGGATAGGCTGATATCATGTGCGTTACAAGCTTGGGATGCTGTTATGTGTGTGTGTGTGTGTGTGTGTGTGTGTGTGTGTGTGTGCTTTCCTGAAAAGAAATGTAGAAAATACAAAAGATTAGGCTACAACACTGTATAACATCACTGAACTAAATCATCCACATATGCACATCACATTTCTTATTAATATACATTTATTAACAATAAAGCTTAAAAATAAGAAAGATGCACATTAAAAATATATAGTTGTAAATGAGAAACTGTGATGAGTCGTGCAGCAGTAATAACGTAACATAACAGATAAAATTCCAGCATTTAACATTTATAAGTTAATTAAATGTCAGTAATGAACTGCACAAATTATAGCGATCAGGAAGAAGGTCCTCTGTCCCAAACACGTACAGTTTAGTGGATATACAGTATACAACTCCCCATCAGTAGTTCTATGCTGCCACCTGTTGGCGTAGTTCTGTAACTTAGAGAACAACCTTTGTTATGTTGAGATCATGAGAAAAATAAGTAGTGATAACGAGAAAACAACTTTTGTTATGTCGAGATCACGAGAAAAATAAGTAGTGATAACGAGAAAACAACTTTTGTTATGTCGAGATCACGAGAAAAATAAGTAGTGATAACGAGAAAACAACTTTTGTTATGTCGAGATCACGAGAAAAATAAGTAGTGATAACGAGAAAACAACTTTTGTTATGTCGAGATCACGAGAAAATTAAGTCGTGATCACGAGAAAACAACTTTTGTTATGTCGAGATCACGAGAAAATTAAGTCGTGATCACGAGAAAACAACTTTTGTTATGTCGAGATCACGAGAAAATTAAGTCGTGATCACGAGAAAACAACTTTTGTTATGTCGAGATCACGAGAAAATTAAGTCGTGATCACGAGAAAACAACTTTTGTTATGTCGAGATCACGAGAAAAATAAGTAGTGATAACGAGAAAACAACTTTTGTTATGTCGAGATCACGAGAAAAATAAGTAGTGATAACGAGAAAACAACTTTTGTTATGTCGAGATCACGAGAAAAATAAGTAGTGATAACGAGAAAACAACTTTTGTTATGTCGAGATCACGAGAAAAATAAGTAGTGATAACGAGAAAACAACTTTTGTTATGTCGAGATCACGAGAAAAATAAGTAGTGATAACGAGAAAACAACTTTTGTTATGTCGAGATCACGAGAAAAATAAGTAGTGATAACGAGAAAACAACTTTTGTTATGTCGAGATCACGAGAAAAATAAGTAGTGATAACGAGAAAACAACTTTTGTTATGTCGAGATCACGAGAAAAATAAGTAGTGATAACGAGAAAACAACTTTTGTTATGTCGAGATCACGAGAAAAATAAGTAGTGATAACGAGAAAACAACTTTTGTTATGTCGAGATCACGAGAAAAATAAGTAGTGATAACGAGAAAACAACTTTTGTTATGTCGAGATCACGAGAAAAATAAGTAGTGATAACGAGAAAACAACTTTTGTTATGTCGAGATCACGAGAAAAATAAGTAGGTAACGATAACAGATACAATTTCAAGCAAAATGATCATATTTATTCAAGTATTTAACATTTATAAGTTCATTAAATGTCAGTAATGAATTGCACACATTATAGCGATCATGAAGAAGGTCCTCTGTCCCAAACACGTACAGTATGCAACTCCCCATCAGTAGTTCTGTACCGCCACCTGTTGTGTAACTTGGAGAACAACTATTGTTATGTCAATATCACGAGAAAATTAAAAGTCGTGATCACGAGAAAACAAGAAGGAAAAAATAATAATGCATGGCCACTTAGAACTTCCGTAATGAGTAAAAATACCGATTCTTGAAGTTCGTGTATTTAGTGTAATTTTACGCTGGAGTGAAATGAATAACAGTACAGTACAGGAACCATGTAAAAACACTCAAATGTTTCTTGTCATCCTGACTGACGCCGAGCTCATTAAACAGCGTCTCGTTCTGCTTGGTCTCCACGGTAACAGGCCTGAGCAAACGCTACGCCTGCTATAACATGGGTGATCAGGGCATCAGCGTGGGCTGCTGGGATACGTACCGCCACGACATCGACTGCCAGTGGGTGGACATCACCGACGTGCGGCCCGGAGACTACATCTTCCAGGTCAGAGTTCACGCCCACCCTAACCCTAAACCTGACATTAACATCTTCCAGGTCAGAGGTCACGCTCACCCTAACCCTAAACCTGACATTAACATCTTCCAGGTCAGAGTTCATGCCCACCCTAACCCTAAACCTGACATTAACATCTTCCAGGTCAGAGGTCACGCTCACCCTAACCCTAAACCTGACATTAACATCTTCCAGGTCAGAGTTCATGCCCACCCTAACCCTAAACCTGACATTAACATCTTCCAGGTCAGAGGTCACGCCCACCCTAACCCTAACCCTAATTAACTATCATAAGGGGTTGCCGAGGCGGCAAGTGGAGAACTTGAAGATGATAAATAACTGCATTGAGGAAGCAGGCCATGGCTTGGAAGGGATCGGTTATTAATTTGTCAAGGATTTTGGAGTTATCTCCGGTACAGTTTTCGGTGTTGGACAAGGGTTTATCGTTTATCCCTTCCCATTTGGTTAAAACTTTTGAAAAGACTTCTTTGTTGGCGGATTTAGGCCACTTTTTGTTAAAATGCAGAGGGAAGATTTCTTTGGACCGGGCTCGGATTTGGGTCAGGCAAAACCTTTCTGCTCACGGTCAAGTTGGGCTCCTTCACCCCAGGTCTTACTGGGGGAAATTTGGGATTTTTTTGCGAAGAGTGTGAAAGATATCCAGGAGGTGGCCACGGGAATGCAAGATCTAAGTCCTAATTTAACAGTGGCAGAAATACGAGCATTGGAGGAATTGTCTCACAGGAGGGACATTATAATTAAACCGGCGGACAAGGGGGGTGCGATAGTCATAATGGATAGGCCGCAATATGTCCAGGAGGGACTTTGTCAGTTGGAAAACAAAAACTTTTATTCTGGGTTAAAGACTCAGGTCTTTCGGGATTCGATCCCCCGGATTGAGTGAGTGGTGGATTCCCTGGTTGAGGGAGGGTACATCTGTCGGCGACAGGTGGAATATTTGCTGGGGGTTCAACCCAACCCCAGACCAAGATGTTTTTATTTACTGTCCAAGGTCCATAAGCCCCGGGATAAATGGCCAACCCCTTGGATGCCCCCAGGTCGCCCCATAGTCTCCGACTGTAGGAGTGAGAGCTACCGGGTGGCAGAATTGATTGATTTTTATTTAAATCCATTATCAACCAAACACCCCAGATGTGTAAGGGATACTTATGATTTTTGGGAAAAAGTTAGGGGTCTCATTGCTCCCCCTGAAGCGATTTTGTTCAGATGTGGTAAATAATATGTGGGCCAAACAGGCAATGCCATCAAAACACGTTTATACTAACACAGATATACTGTTCGATCGGGGTCTGCAGGAAGGACCAGGAGGCCCCTAATAGAACATTTCAGGAAGCATGGAGTCAACAATTTGTGGATCCAAGGGTTGGAACACAATAGGCGATGGATGACCAGACAACAGTTATATAGAGAGCATATATGGATTAAGAGGCTAAACACAAGAGTCCCAAATGGCCTAAATGATAGGATGGAGATGAAAAGAAGATATTGGCTTTGTTTCAATAAAAAAAAAGAGTTATGTTGACATATGTGGGTATATATGGATATTTTCTTTGTCTGTATGGTTTTACATAAATCTGAAAGATATAATAAGGGGACAGGAGCTGTGATGTTTATGGAACCTAGGAACAATATTTTGCTTCATATGCTGTTCTGATTGCTCCTTAGATGGCAAATACACAGTGTGGGGTGGGGGTCACACAATGGAAATTGAGATGCACACGGGTTAAAATAACCAGGTCTTTCCTGAGTAATTTGGGAACCAAAATGAAAATAATAACAAATAATTTCTGTCACCACGGAGGAGGTAGCTGAGTGAAAGTATGGGGTGCATGAAAGATACTTCCGGGGTTTTGGGCAAGAGCTTTTTTGCATCTGGCAGTTTTCCGGGTAAGGATGATGTCTGTTCAGTTTTAAAATGCATAAGCTTTGAAGAGGGGTGGCTGGTAGAAGCTTGATGTGCAGAAATGTGCATCCGCCAGTCTCATACTCTCCGGGAGGGATTGGGTTAAGGGGTTAAAAGTTCATTTCTCGTTTGAGATACAATCTTTTTTCAAGTGACTTGGATACCTTGCAGTGTTAATGAAGGGTCACTTGTTCGATGAGTATCCAGCCTCCCTGGGTCCACTTGGACAGCACGCAGGGAAGGTGGTCTGGGGTTGACAGGCCTTAATTGGAACCCAGTCTTCTACTGGTGATTAGCACCACTCACACAACGGCACATTGCACACCAGCACCTCTATGCACTGACTCTGTTCTTCTTGGTGCCAGAAAATCATTGATTTTGCGTGTCTTGGTGGCAAGCCTTGAAATAATCTATTCTATTTGTTCCTTGGGTTGGACTTTGGTTAGTGTAACTTACACAATACCTTCGAACACAATGCTAGAACAAAGACTGGAACACCAGACCCCAACCAGACTCCAATTGGGGATCTGGATAGACCCTTGGCTATAAGACACTCGCCTGGGAATGATCACCCTAGGCGGGCCGCCTCGGAGGAGGTTGTCTAGCATTTAAAGAGCCGAAACACCTGATGATCTCGAGGTACGCTATTGAGAATGTGTCTTAAGTATTTCCACCATGCCGATGGTTTCTTTGGGGGACTAGGATTGGCAAATAATGCCCTAAAATGACACAAGGTTATGCTTTAGGCTGTAAGTCAACCGGCACTTGAAAACTTAACCCTCATAGGCGTAAGGATTATACGCAGACTGTGTTCGATCCTGGTGCAATGGAAATCTAGTCTTGGACTTTTTTCCCGACTCTCATGTTGTAAGGTCTAGATCTGTTCTCTCCGGGATAGGAAATCACAGGTACTTAGTGGAGGCTAGGATATAGCCCTGGTATGACACACACATTAAACCTACCCCTCATAGACTTGAAGGCAGGATCTAGCCCTGAACCAATTTACACCCTAGACTTATCCCTCACAGACTTAAGGAGAGTGGGATCTAGCCCTGAACCAGCTCACATCCTAAACCTACCTCTTACAGATTTAAGGAGAGTGGGATTTAGCCCTGAACAGGTAAAATTTCTTCTCAGGCAAGAACTGATTTAGGTAACTGGCCTGGTGGTTCAGTGGTAGAGTTATCGCCTCCTGCTGGGGAGACCCGGGTTCGCTTCCCGGCCATTGCAGGGCTGTGTGTTCGGTTTTGCTCTGTTATGGCCCATGTGCCCACTTAAGCATTTCCCCGAGGAGAGAGGGAGACAGGAGAGAGACGGTACAGTCTAGCGGGGGTCAACCTTGCCTCAGTCTCCCTATTCCAAACCCTTCCTGCTGGGTTAGGGGAAGCAGTTGTAATTTTCTATTTCGTGGGTCTCATTAGCACGGGCTTATGCATATTTAGTCTTAAAACGCTCAAGCCATTTTCTAGTCTGCAAGATGGGATCTGAGTGGGCTGGAAACGGGGAGAGCATCTGAAAGACGCTTCTTAAGATTATTGCTGAAGTGAAAAAAGTTTTAAAAGTGAAAATAAAAAAGTTGTAGACGTTTAAGTTTATTATAATGAAAAATGCAAAAAATACTATTTTAAAATTGTATATGAAATATATATTTTCCAAATGATGTTTTACTTTAAAACAGCATGAAAATCAAAGCCATTAATAGAAACAAGTTGTGTTCCGAAAAACCAAAAGGTTAAAGTTTTCAGCCGAACAGCAGCAGAAGGTTAAACAGAAAGTAAACCTGACCAAAGCTCCCAAACCCTGCTTCTGAGGACGTCCTTATTTCTGAAAACACTCTGTAAATACAGTAAATGAAGCGTGTGAGTGCAGAGAGTTTTCTGTGTATGAGACAATAGCCATCTGTGAAGAATGATCTCAGTACACACACGTGTCGATGGGAAAATCTGCCCCATCAGAGCAGAATGAGCTCATTAGCTGAGAGAATAATGACTTTAAACTGTTATTAGAGCCACGTCTGACCTTCAGCTTTTACTCCGGGATTCTTCTAGTTTCTGCTGAAACCGGAAAAACACCTTCAGCGGAGTCTGAGATCCGTCCGGAGCACAGCATTTCTCTCGCTCTGGTTTTATCTCGCCCTAAAACTTGTTCTCCCTTCAAAAACTTTTCTCTTTTTTCACATTTTTTCTTAAAAAAAAAAACTCGTTTCCGTCTTCAAGAAACTTTTTTTTTTCAAACACTTTTCACTTTTTAAAAAAATGTTTCTTTTATTTTTTCAAAAACTTTTCTTTGTTCAAAAGCTTTTTTTTTCTTTTTCCAAAAACTTTTTTCTCTTTTAAAAAATGACTTTTTTCAAAAATGTTTTCTCTCTTCAATCCGGAAGAGGATTAAGGCCAAGCAATATTAAAAAAATAAAACCATCTCGAGATTAAAGTTGTTACATTTCAAGAAAAAAGTCGAGATAAAATGTTGAGATTAAACTAATTAAATTTCGAGAATAAAGTCGTTGAATTTTGAGAAAAAAAAGTCGAAATAAAATGTTGAGAATAAACTCATTCAATTATGAGAAAAAAAGTTGTTAAATTTCGAGAAAAAAGTTGTTAAATTTCGAGAAAAAATTGAGATTAAATGTTGAGAATAAACTCATTCAATTACGAGAAAAAAAGTCGTTGAATTTTGAGAAAAAAAGTCGAAATAAAATGTTGAGAATAAACTCATTAAATTACGAGAAAAAAAGTCATTACATTTCGAGAAAAAAGTAGAAATAAAATGTTGAGAATAAACTCATTAAATTACGAGAAAAAACTGTGGAGTAGCGTATGATATGATCGACTGGGTTCGAGTCCGTGTTTTGCCAAATTCGCTTTTCTTCTTTTCTCATCACATATCACATCAGAAAGATGGAAATCAATTGCTTAACGAGTGTTTAATAATAATGCACTAATTAGGGGTAGGCAGGCTATAGGGAGGGCTTTGGTGTCCCAATAAGGCAGCATCTATTTAATAATTTCAATAAATACAATCATTGTTATTAAAATCAATGTTATTATTGCATCCTGTTAATGTACAACAATACTGAGGTGCGAATAGTATCGGCCACTATTTATAAGTATTAATAACATCTAATTAGCTACTATTTACACTTATTGCAAAGGTCTGCTACTTTTACATAACATAAATAGAACGGCTATTTTCACTTAGTGTAAATAGTACATATAACTATTTTTACTGTAAATAGCATCTAGGGGTGTCCAAAGTGTACTTCAAAAACGTTTTTCCAGAAACATTTTTCTTATTTCGTCTTCAAAAAACGTAAAAACATATTTCTTTTCAATTATTTTTCTTTTCAAAAAACATGTTTCTTTTTCAAAAACTTCTTTCTCAGTTTTAAAAACTTTTCTGTATTCAATTTTATTTCTTTTTTTCAAGAACCTTTTTCTCTTTTTTAAAAACCTTTTTCAGTTTTTCTCTTTAAAAGACATTTTTTCAAAAACTTAATGAAACTCAAGGTTTTTTCTGTTTTCAAAAACTTTTTCTATTTTTTCTTTCTGCAAAATTTTTTTCTCTCTTAAAAAACTTTTCTCTCTGATATTTTCTCAAACATGAGAGAGAATAAAAATGTCTAGCTAACATTAGCATGCAGTACACATCTCAGCTAGCAGGCGCCGCTGTCAGCTCGCAGGAAATATAATGTTACTGTAACTGGACATTTGTCTCTCATGTTGCTGAGGAGAAATAAAACAGTTTTTGAAGATAGAAAAAAATGGGAGAGAAAAGAAACTCAGAGAGAGAGAAATCTTAGGATTTTGGCTCAGGAAGGATCTGAGGTGTTTATGAATATCAGAGTTTATCCCTGTTAGGACGATAAAAATTAGTCCTTTTCTTTATTGAAGTGGCTTAATATTTGTGTAATTCATGTGATTATTTAATTGTGTTTGCATTTCACATTTTTTATATTCCCCTTTACCAGAGCTGCCAAAAAAAAACTTTTAATACGAGAAGCCAAAAATCAAACTATATTATATTAAAATCTGTTACATTTATAATAACATTTGTATATAATTAAAAAAAAACTATTTTGAAATGTTTAAATTATTTTTAATCAATTTCATTTATATTGTTTTTTACATTTCAATGCAAAAATAAAACTTTTGATAAATAAAAGTTTGATTTACAACTTGATTTAAAATGTGAAAAAAAATACATTTTTGTTTTAATTATAAAAAAATACATTTCATATATTTTAATTAAATATAGTTGGATATAATGCAACGTTTAATTTTTTGCCCACAGCCCTCAATCCGGTTTGATTTCTGGCTCTTCTTTTTAAAGTTTGAATCTCTTGGTTTCCACACGCGTGTGTTTGACTCGATCACAGGCTATTTTTCTGAGATCCACACTCACTCACACACACACACACACACAATCACACACACACACACACACACACACACACACACACACACACACACACACACACATGGCGGAGTCTGATTTCCAGAATAACGTGATGCGCTGCCGCTGCCGCTACGACGGAGCACGCGTCTATCTGTACGGCTGCCACGCCGGTGAGACACACATCACATCCTTCTACTGTCTGATGATATCCGCTTGAGCTGCAGAGCCAGAAAGCAACCTGAACACTACTTTACTTCATTTGAGTGCAATTTACAAGAAAATACTGTCTCTTTCTAAGGCACCTGCTACAAATCTATTCTGTTTTGCACAATAAAAAAGAAAAGAAGCAAATAAAAATAAATAAAATAATAGAAACAATAATTACATGGAAATTTTAAAAACGTTAGTGCTTTTGAGACTTTTTTTAACAATAAAAAAATATTTTATATTTTTTAATAAAAATAAATAAGGCATTAAATTAAAATAAAAAATATATATTTTTTGTTAACAAAAAAAACCATCATTGGAGTATGTTTTACAAGAATTTCTTTCTAGGAGACCTATTTTATATTGATGGCCAGTATTATAAATATATACTATTTGCAAAATAAAATAAAATGTAAAAATGTTTCATGCTTTTTACACCAGTCGTAAAATGTTTACTTTTTGCAATAAATTAAATAATGCATACAATTACATTTAAAATTTTATTTAATTCATAAATAAAACAAGTTAAAGGAAAATATTATTTTAGGCTGTCTTCTTCAAAATGTCATGTTTAATTCAATGTTACTTGCTGTTTCTTAGTTATTTGTAAAACTTGCTAGAAATTTCTGTGAAATATTTCCTTTTAGATTCCTTTTTTATTATATATATATATATATAAATTTCAAAGAAAAGATCCTTGCTTTAAGCTGTAAATGAAACTCCAGAGGTTATTTGAGTATGTTTTACAAGAAAACACTCTTTCAGTTCTTACACTTCAGAATTTCACGTTTAATTCAGTGTTACGTGCCGTTTCTTTGTGGCATTTTCTAGCACTCTGAGTTGTTTTCTGGCTGTTTCAGGTGACGCTTACAGCGCAGAGGCAGAGGACCTGTTTGAACACCAGCGTCAGATCTCAAACAACTTCCTGTGATGAAGCCACGCTGGTTTCTCTGATCGCCGCAGCAACACTCGCTGGGCGGAGTCTGCGTGATTGACGGGGAGGGGGTGGGGTTAGTGTGATGATTGACAGGTGGGTGTTTACACTACAGTTCGTCCGGTATTAATGACGCAGAAGATCAGAAGGACGTCCTGCTGTTATAATGAAGGACTTCATGAGCTTGCGCAGATGTTTCCAGCACGTCTCAGTGAGGCTCTTGTGTGTATTGATTCATCTTCATCACCCATCCGAGATTCAGAGGAAAACATGTTATGGCACAAAATAAAAAAAACACTAATATTGAAAATCAGTCATGAAAGTAGAACATTGTTTTTCAGGTTGCAACGATTTGAAGTAAACGTAATAGAATTTTTTTTTTCAAAAAGTGTCATTTTTCCTGTTTCTTGTGCTCGTCATTTTCATATTCTAGTTCAAACATGATTTTAATTTTTATTTTTGTGCGCTAGTTTGGTCTGTTGGAGAGACAACAGATGTTTATTCCCTGTTTTTCATTTTAGAATCTCTCTGTAGATCAGCGGTTCTCAACCAGTACGTCAATGAATTAAACAAAATATTTAACTTTTTTTTTTTTTAAATGGTATTAAAATAATCTGTCTAAATTAAAATGCTGATTAGAATTTTTTTTTTTTACAAATATTAAAATAATCTAACTGAATTTAAATGCCAAAAAAAATTATACTTTCTAATTCTAAATTTCAAAAAAAAAACAAAAAAAAGTTTTTTTAATGATATTAAAACAAGACAAAAAAAACAATTTGAAATAGTTTTTCAAAGAAGAACAAAGTTTTTGAAACTTTTGGAATCACAAAATGAATCATATTTGATACCTCGATTTCTGTTGTTAAAAAGGATGAAAAACGCCTTTGTCATGATTATTGCTGAATGTTGTGTTGGATGAAGAGGGCTTCAAGTCAGAAAGGTTGAGAACCTCGTCTGCAGATGATTTCATCAAACACACGATCCTGCCTCCTCTGATGTTTCTCGCGTTTATTTCTCCGGCCGCTGGTGCTGATTTTAGGCTTGAATATTAGTTATTCCCGGCTCGGACAGAGCAGCAGCATCGGTGTAACAAACGCTTCATCGCTGTTGTATCGCATGCACAGGTTTATAGCTTTCTCGCTGTGAAGAGAAACAGTTTTACAGATTGTGCTTCAATCCTTGAAAAATAAACATAAGAACTCTGAGATTTCATACTGTATGAACCCTGTATGAATCATGATAATAATAATGACTTGTTGACAAAAATGTACCTTCATAAAACCTGCCGAAACCCTGAAAACAAGTGAAAAATCCCAGTGCAGCTGTCTAAAGATGATTAAACCAAGATGCATTTACTGGAGAAACAAATTATCATGAGATATGAAGTCTTGTTATATGAGAAATTGATCAAAATGAAGTGAGTTTATGGTTAAAAAGACATATGCCAATGAGCTCAGAAAAACCAGCTAAATCCAACGGGAACGCAGGTTTTCATGCTCCACTGACAGATATTTGTTCTTCCAGTTAAAGTGTGAATGAAGACGTTTTGAGATCCACAGAAACCCTGGGTTTATATCGTCTCCATCCAAATATGAACTACGGTATTGTTCAGCTCTAAACTGATTAATGTGACTGATTACAGACATTCAAAACATGAACACAATCCGGTTCTGAATAACGCACACTGACGGTTCTCTGATCTCTGAATCAGTCCGCTAGCTCATAATGACTCCAAGTGAATCGCTTCATTCCTGATGAATCTTTAAAACACTGACACAGTCATCAAACGATTCTCATGAACAAAGAAACAAATCACACGTGAACGTACAGCGATTCATTTTAATCAACAAATTGAAAAATAAATTAAGAAATATAATTATGAATGGAAAAAGAATGAAACATTCCGGAATGATGAAGCTCAAGGCAGAAGACATGAATGAAGACTGTATAAAACTAAACGAGTGTGTGTGTTTGTGTGTGTGTACAAGTATGTTTGTGTGTGTGCGTGTTCAGAGTGTGTGTGAGAGTGTGCTTGTGTGCACGAGTGTGTGTGTGACTGTGTGTGCACGCACGAGTATGTTTGTGTGTGTGTGACAGTGAGAGTGTGTGTGTGTGTGTTTGTGTGCACGAGTATGTTTGCGTGTGTGTGTGTGTGTGTGTGTGTGTGTGTGTGTGAGAGAGAGAGTGTGTGTGTGAGAGAGAGAGAGAG